TGTTAATATAAGTTGAGTATCCCTTAAGCAAAATGCTCAGAACTTGACGCCCTTCAGAGTTTTTAGGTTTTCAGAACACACGCACAGACTTGCCAGTAGAGCATCCCTCCTCCTAAACATCCAAAAGCAAGCACGCAGTGCTCACCAAGTTCCAGATTCTGGAGCACTTACGATTTCAGATGAAGATGCTCAACTGTAGACATCTTTGGATGAAAATCAGAGATGGGTCGGGTGTCAGGTCCAGAGGTTCAGACACCCATGACCCCCATCACATCCTACACTGAAGCACCAAGGTTCAACACCCACTGCCAACCCAATCCTAGAAAGGCTGCAAGGTGGGGTGACGGCTCAAAGGAACTGGACAGCTATCACCAAGTCAGAGCCCTGCATTGGGCTCCTGGCTTTTGTAGGCAACTGAGTACTGAGACTGTGGATGACAGCATATTCTATCTCTCTGCCCATCTGCTTCTGATTTTTTTAAATTAGGAGACGAAAATACATTTTCCAAAAAGATGTGACTGACAAACACTTCACTATGCAGTCATAAGTTTTCAATCTTTAAAAAACAGTGCTTACCTACCTTATAAAGGCAGCTTTACTTAACAATGCTAAGTTAAAAACCACTGCAAATCTACTATAAGCTCCAATATGAGAACCAATATTATTTCACTAACCAACTGACCCATGGCCTCAGAAAATAACATTTCTAACAAGTATTCCAAGCACATTGATAAGTTTCTATACCAATTCTAGGAGGGAAGATGGGGGGAAAAAGCCCTCCAAGACAAAGTTCTATAGAACAGCTTCACAGAACACCTATAAAGATACCCTTCAGGGGCTGGTGCTGTGGCATAGCGGGTAAAGTTCCAGTCAGCAGTACCAGTATCCCATATGGGTGCCAGTTTGAGCCCTGGTTGCTCCACTTTTGATCCAGCTCTCTGCTATGGCCTGGGAAGCAGTAGAAGATAGCCCAAGTCCTTGGGACCCTGTACCCACATGGGAGACCTGGAAGAAACTACTGGCTTCAGATCGGTGCAGCTCTGACCATTGCAGTCAACTGGGGGTGAACCATCAGATGGAGACCTCTCTCTCTCTCTGCTTTTCTTCTCTCTCTGTAACTAACTCTGGCTTTCAAATAAATAAATAAATCTTTTAAAAAAAAGTCTAAGTTGTAAAAATCTAACGATTGCTTTTTGGTTACTTTTAATAGTTTATTTTGCTATTGCTGTTGTTTTTTAATTTCTGAAGCAAGCAGACAGCAAGCTCCCATCCACTGGTTCACTCTCAAATTGTCATCAAGGTTGGGACTGGGCCAGGCAAAAACTGGGAGCCAGCACTCACCAAGGTCTTCCATATGGGTAGGTAGCAGGGACCCAAACACTTGGGTCATCACCACTGATCCCAGGGTCTGTGCTATCAAAAAAGCTAAAAATTGAACCCAGGTACTCCAATACGAAATGTGGGTATCTTTTTTTTTCTTTTTTAAAAGATGCATTTATTTCAAAGTCAGAGACAGACACACTTCACATACACACAGAGATAGGTAACTTCACTCCCTCAATGGCTGCAATGGCCAGGGACGGCCTAGGTCAAAGCCAAGGGCTTTATCCACATTTCCCACATGGGTGCAGGGGCCATCTTCCCCTGCTTTCCCAGGCATATTAGCAGGGAATTGGATCAGAAGTGGAGCAGCTGGGACTCAAACCCATGACCACATTAAATGCTGGCATTGCACACAGTAGCTTAACACCACAACACTGGCCTCAGGATGTGAGTATATTAACCAGCGTCCTTTTATTATGTGAAGGGTGTCTTTTATTTTTGGGACGGGGAAGAGAGGCTGTTAGAGAGAGAGATATGTTATACCCAACTGGTTACTCCCGAAATGCCTTCAACAGCCAGGGCTGGGCCAGGCCAAAGCTAGGAGACAGGAACTCCATCCAGGTCTCCCACATGGTAGCAAGCACTCACGTACTTAAGTCATCACCTGCTGTTTCCCAGGGAAGCTAGAATCAGAAGCAGAGTCAAGACTGGAACCTAGGTACTCTGATCCGGGATGTGAGGGTCCTAAGCACCAGACAGTTCCAGGTACAGAGTAACATTCATACTGGCTCTCAGTAATGATGCTTGTAATTGCTACTAGAACAAAATGTTGTAAATAAAAATACCCAACTATACAGATCGTGTTAAATGAAATTATGGTTAATGTAAAGACTGCTAGGAGCAAAAAAAACAATCCTCCTCAATGGCTGCTCTCTTACAGCATATCCTAAAAAGTCCTCTTAGACATGACTTCTGAACAGGCATTTTTAAAAGAATATCCAAGATGCCAAGAAAGAAATCTATGAAAAAAGCATGCTCTAACACCAGTGAACCCCAATCCTGAAGAAAGCATTCTCTCCAATTTGCACTTCAGTTTAGCTTGCTTTGTAAAATGCACGCTACAAATCAGAACACCAAGGCTTTTCAGTTTAGGTATTTACAAAGTTCTTAAATTTAAAACACCCTAAAATAAAACGATCTAAGTAGCTCAATGAATACAGTAATTGCTCTTATATTAATTACACTGTTACATACACATGCAAGAAGAAAGTAATCTAATTCACTTGCATTTTGGGCTTTTGATAGTGTTCAATTTATATATATATAAATGATTAAAAAACCTAAAGAAATTTATGTCTGTAATAAATTCATATATTTTTAAAAGCTCAGGATTTCCTTTTCTGTCTTCTCTTTAAACAAAGGAAAAATAGCAAAGTAAAAATTCACAAAAACATAAAGTCCAACTGTACTGTGTGTTCATATTTTTAGTTTGACCAACAACTACATTTTAAAAATGTCTCAGCCATAACAATCCAACACCTATTAACAATAAAAAAAACTGCATATACCTGAAGCAAACTATTAAGTATTAAATGAGGGAAGAAGCATCATTTTATATCTTAAAAGGTAAAATTAACATCAAAGATGGACTCTGGACCGCAGCTAGAGATCTCCTACTTGACAGTACTATTATTCTTCCACAGTGGCCACACCTATTAGAGACAGGGTAGACAGGAACAGAGTAGGAGGCACCAGAGGAGCAGCTGGAAAGCAAATTACAAAGTGAGGTCTGACTTGGCAAATGACTAGCTCAGAAAAATAAGTAACAAGTTTCTTACAAATGGAGCTGAGGAAACAACAGCAAAGACACAAACAAAAAAGGAACAAAATGCCAAGAAGTACCTGGAGTTCACACGGGAAGAGTGAAAACCAAAGAAAACAGGGTACAGTAAAAAATAAGCAGCTGTAACACCACTAGTTCAAGAATCAAAGCCTTTAAGAACAGCTTCAAGGCCAAGGTCTCATCTTGACTTCCAGTAGTGTGACAACTGTTGGCACACAGTGGATGCCCAACGTTTGCTCAATGAATACACCACGACTGTTCTTGGGATTATTTCACCTGTAAAAGAATTGATTTGGGACAGTTTATTGTACGTGGATGAAAGAATTCATAGAAGTTTCTTCACTCCCTGAGTTGAGCGCCCACACGGACTTCTTCCTGGACATGGGTTATAGACAGATAACCTGGAGCAGTCACTGAAGTTAAGAACCTGAGAGCCTACCTACAAGGAAACGAGGTGTCATGTCCTGAAATGCCACAATTACCAAAATTTTCAGAAGGAAGCACAGTATAGGACAACTAGTACGTGTCCTCCAGGAGCTAACATTTCAGATGAATTCACTATAGAAAAGTGGCTGACAGTATCTCATGCTACAGATAACACTGAGAGATTTATGCACAAAAACCAAAAACACTAAGTCTGATTTCACCAAAGAACTCCTAACACTTTAACAATCAAATCCACCTGCTACTATTACTTCTGAACTAAAATGTGATTTCTGTGAATAAGCAGCACAAAGCTATAGCTATAGTTACAGAAAACTACTTCTTCCCATCTAACCATCCAAATTGCTCTATCCCAATGCTACCTTCTGACCATTATTAACTTCCTCAACCCGGTGATTACATACTGAAAAACATGGCATCCTCTAAATAATCACACTGAATAAAACGGATTTCTATCCTGGCAAGAAAAAAAAAAAGTAAAAGCAAAGACAAACAGATACAGAGTATTTTTAAAAAGTTAAACAACTACTGAGAAACTGTCAATGGGCAAACTCTAACATGATACAATATTTTCTTGGAAGCTTTCAATTAATATTGTATAGGTTATCTCAAATATGGTGTTTCCACTTCAGCTATGAGATCTCACCGTGGGAGAGAATATCTCTTAATCACCTTAGTGAAATCTGTTTGATTCTTAACGTACACTTTAGACATGAAAAAAATTGCCCCAAATTTACCAGAGCAATGTAAGTCTCAATTATTGAGAGCTGGTTTTATTTATTCCCTCAGTCTCCCAACCATAAATAAAAAGCTTGAGGCATACCAGCAATGTGCAAGATGAATGAAGCTAACTTTTGAAAAGTTCAATGTTTCAATGAACACACTACAGGATACTAGCAATGCTATAATATGGAAAATTTTCAATGTTTACAACAGAAAAACCAAAACTACATTTTCTCAGGCACAATTTTTTTTAAATCTCTGAAGGGTCTTGAAAAGCCCAAGTTTTTAAGCTCATAATTTTCACATTTGAACTTCTTAAAACTCAACTGAAGCAGCAACAAGGGTCTCAAAGTAAGGCAAACACAAATCTCTACTTGAAAAAATGCAAGTTCCTTCCCCAGAAAACGCCCTGCATTTCTCCCACCATTAACAAGGCACTCGGCAGACCAAGCTGCCTCGCTGTCAGACACTGGAGACCACTTTTTACCTGCTTTGCCAGCACTGTCCGTCTACAGCAGTCTGCTTATCGAAACAAAACTGACAAACAAAATACTCTTACAATACAAGCAGAGTAACCCATTCAGTTGGAAGTTATTTGTTTCATACAAAGCTAGTATTGTTAAAATAGACAGACAAAATAGATAGTTCAGACAAGAAAGCTACTCACCACCTTCCCTCTCTCTAACTCTGTGAGTATGTACGTTTTTGGCCTTGCTGTGTCCTGTGCTGTCACTGTATTTGTTTTCAGGACTGTCAGACCTCCGCGGCATCTTGTTTGGTGGTGAAGGGTCTGTGGCGTCTCGCATCTTTTCATGTCTGTGATCACCACTACTGGGGTGACTTTTCGATGAATACTTAAGTGCCTGTAAAACATCACCCCTCAAACAAGAGAGAAAAATTGAAACTTCAACTCTCCAGACTAATTTAATAATCACTGACACATCATTAGCTTTATTCACCGTTTTGAATTTCCAAAGTTAAAACTCTCATTTTCAATTGTGCCTTCATACTATGAAGACAGAAACGTGGAAGTCGCTGTTAAGTCTCCTGATACTATTCCACCACATTTTAGCCAAAAAAAAAAAATCACTCTCACCCTGTAAATAAAATAATTAACCATCGAGGCATACTGATACCTCAAAAAACTTCCCATGGAATAGCTAAAGGCCTTTTTTCCAGGATTAATCAAAGAGACTAGAAACTCAGTTCACTGCTACACATGTGCAACTCACATGCACAGGCGTGTATGTACATATGCATATGTTCCTGCAAACTTCCAAACCATGACTTCTCCAATTCCTGGACTCACATAAAAACTTCTCAGACCTCATTACCTACTCCTGAAGGTGTGGGAACTATTGATCAAAGTAAACTGATTTAAATCGCCAATATTTGGAGAAAGCATAATGGAACTTAACGAGAACACTTAAAACTTGGGTTTAATTCTAACTCATCTGAGGAGGCCATGTTCTACTCAACTTCAGGAGTGGGCAGACTCAGCAAGACTGGGGGCACAGGGTCTTTACTGGTGCACGGCAGTGACCTCTCAGGCCAGCAGCCTGCCCTTCTATCTTTCCATGACCAGACACGGCTAGTACACTGCGAAGCCCTCCAGCCCTGGGAGCTGGAGCCCCTGCAGGATCCTAACAGACATACCCCTGCGTCCGAGGCAGCCAGGGATCTCAACTCCTGAACAAGAACAGAAGGACAGCCTCTCACAGGGCAGCTACCTGGGCCAAAACGGCCACCCCTCTCCCCCTCCCCCCCCCAAAAAACCACTGGGGCAGGGGCTGGCTATCGCAGCCAGCGAGGCGTGAACCACAGGCCGCTCGGCTCCTTCCCAGCAACTTTCCGGGCCCCGTGCGCCCAGCAAGCATGCAGGCCTCTCCCGTGGCACCCATCACCTCCCAGCGATCCCTCCACACCTAAATTACCCGGGCCTGGGATGCCTGGCTGCCAATCATCCCCCACCTCCCCCACTCCCCCCCAAAAAAGAACTACTGAGCTCTCTCAGGTCCCCTGTGACCCTAAGTCCTTAAGCCCCGTGGCGGAGCACACTGGGCACCCGGCCCCACACTCCCCGGGGCTCCGCAGGGCTTGTGTCAGCCGAGGGGCCTGAAGGGACTTCTGAAGCCTGCGCTCGAGTAGCCGTCCCATCCCCTTCCCCTGGGCCGGCCCCTGGCACTCCCGCGCCCCGGGCTCGGCTGGTACCTGGAAAGGCTGCGAGTCCCCCCTCCAGTCGTGACAGCTGAAACACAGGAAGAGACACGGGGACATGAGAACCCCCCTGCCTGCCTGCCTGGCCGGGCGCCGAAACACAGCCGAGCCCGCAGGCCGCCCCTCCCCCGCGTGCTCCCCGGGGTGGGCGCACACCCTGGGGGCTCCCCCCTGGTACACGGTGCCGCGAACCCCCGCTGGGCCCGCTGAGCCGGTCCCCAGGGCCCTGCACATGGCGCCGCCACCGCCTCCTCCTCCCCCAGCCCGAACCCGATCAGGGTTAACAACAAAAATGGCGGCCCGGCCAGCTCCAGATAAGGAGGAACAAACCCCCCCCCCCAGCCCCCCCCCCCCCCCCCCGCCTCCGCCGCAGCCTGAAAACCAGAAAGGCGATTTACGCATCACTGAGTCTCTGCTGTTTCCTCGCATACATTACCATCAACGTCCGGCCTGTGAGTGTGTGTCGGGGACGGGGGAGAGTGGCCGAGATAGGTGGGCGGGTGGACGGACGCACGGGTGGGCGAGCAGGCGGCAGAGGCGGCGGCGCGCCCTCAGCGACTCTCAGCACCTCCCCATTAACTGGCGCCAGCGCTCCCGGGCCATCTCCTTCTGCCGACACCAGGCTCATTTTCAGCCCGCGGCAGCGGTGCCAACAACATGGCGGCAGGGCGAACCTGGGAGGGGGGAGAAGGGAGGGGAGGGGCAAGAAGCCGCATCCGGTTCAGCCCAGCAGTGAGCCGCCGCCTCCTCGCCTCCTCCTCTCTTCCCTCCTCCCCCCCCCGCCGCTTCTTCCTCCTCCTCCTCCCCCCCCCCCCCCCCCCGCCGCCACCACTGCATCCGGGTCTTCCTCCTCCTCCCCCACTCCCAGACGCCGCCGGTGCCCCCGCTGCCGCTCCACCAACTACATCTGGGCAACTCGGACAAAGCCGCCTTCGGCAAACCTCGGCAGTTTCCGCTGCGCCCACCCTCAGCCCAGCGGCTCCCGAATTGCCACCTTTCAGCAAACCTCGGTTCGCTCCGGCCTTCCTCTTCCTCTGAGGCCCGGCTTGCCTCTCTCTCGCGACCTGTCAGCCATTTCTGGTCGCCGATGCTTTTCCTCACACACAAATCAGGCAGCCGCCTTTCCAGTTTAGGGCTAGTCCTGCTCGGGGACCTGCTCGAGGCTCGTCCCAGGGGCTCTGGGCTGCGCTGGGAGGGAGCCGCCTTCGGGAGGAGGCCGATGGGGCGCGGGCAGAGCCACTGCAGACTAAATAAGGGCGGCGGTGGCTGCCAGTGTGTGTGCGCGTGCGCCCAGCGGTGCCCCTTCACTGGTGGGGGCTTCCTCGCTCACGTCCGACTTCTCCAGGTCTCAGAAGAGTTGCTACTGTCGCCGCTACATCCTTCCTCGCCATTCCATGAAACCCCGACACTACGCACGCTGACGCTGACCCCGACGCTGCGTCGAATGCGGCGTCGGGGTCACCGTCAGCGTCCTAGCGTTGTGTGTGGCGTCGGGGTCAGCATCAGCGTGCGTAGCGTTGGGGCCACGTAAACGTCGTGGGCGGGGCGGCTCAGCTCATCGAAGGGCAGCGGCGAGGAAGGTTGCAGCAGCGGTGGTGGCGATTCATCTAAGACACCGAGCAGTCGGCTGCCAGCGAGGAAGCAGTGGTAGGTGGGGCCGGTGTTGGTGTAGGCCTGGGCAGCGGCGGTGAAGGAGGCGGCGGTAGCGAGGGTGAGGGGTGGCGCGGATAGAGGCGGTGGTGGCGGCTCCGTGTCGGCCGTCCTGGGCGGGGAAGGGCGGCTCTGTCCCAGCCTAACTGAAGCCTGGGCTTCCTAGGTGGGGAGTCTCAGTCTTCGCTGGCGGCAGCAGCGGCCGAGGACCTGGAGAACCAGGAAGCAGTGGGTGTCGGCGTGGGCGTTCCGTGGGGCGTCCTGCTTTGGACAGCGCAGTTTGTGGGCAGGAAGTGGTGGCGGCGAGGAAAGACGCGGCGGGGCACAGAGTCCAGCAGTCAGGAGCGTCGGTGGCCGGCGAGGAAGCAGGAGGGAGTGGCGGTGCTGACGCCATGGGCAGCAGAGAAGCAGGTGGCGGCGGGGGCTCTGTGTTGGGCAGCGGAAGAGAGAGGCCGGCGGCAGTGGCGGCTTGAGATAGCAGTGGCATCAGCGTCAGGTAGGCACTACAGTTGAACAGATTGGGGAGGAAAACTGGTCATAACAGTCACATTATACAACATGAAGGGGAAGGAAGATAGGCAGTCAATTGCAAGGGAGGTTTCTCTAGCTTTGAATGTGCCCCTTACACTAGCTTTAGGCTAACAGCCTTTAGTTGTCATTTGTCAGATTCTTGAGGGCGCACATATGATGTGGGAGCTAAGTTTCTCCTTGGGATGTCTGTGCCCTGTGTCCCAGTGCCCGGATTTGAATTCGGGATCCATTTCCAGTTCCAGCGTTCCCACTAATGTGTGTCCTGGGGAGATACCAGGTGATGGCAAAAGTGTCTGGGTACTTGTCAGCTACGTGGGAGACTGAGTTCCTGGCTCCTAACTTCAGCCTGACCAGTCCTAGCTGCTGCAGGCATTTAAGGAGTGAGGGAGTAAATGGGAGAGCTCTGTCTCTGCCTCTTAAATAAATAAAGTTAAAACTCTTCAAAAGTGGGTGATCTTTATCTATTCTTAAGATTTATTTCAGAGGCAGATACTCATACCCATGCAGGTACATGCACATGCACGCACACACACACACACACACACAGAGTGCAGGAAACAGACATAATGAGGGTTCTCATCTGCTGGTTGACTTTCTCATTCTCACAACTACTGGGCCTGAGCCTGGCAGAGTGGAGGGTTGGAGAATTCATTCCGTGTTTCCAGCAAGGGTGATGGGTATCCAAATACCTGGGTCCTATCCACTGCCCTCCAGGTCCACATTACAGGAAGCTAGACTCAGGAGCCAGAAACAGGTACCCGATTTCTTGAGCCATCACAACTGCCTTCTCCATCCACACTAATAGGAATCCACTAGAGTCAGGAGTCGGAGGTGGATACTGAACCTGGGTACTTCCAGGATGGAATGCAGGTGACTATAATTGGCTTGGTAATCAAAATTTCAAATCTTTACCCCTCTGGATTCTAAAAATCATTACAGTTTAGTAACAGTTTCAAAAGGAAATTAAGGATTTACAACGTGTTTTAATTTTATTTCTTTCATACATTTATTTCTCTGCAAGTAATCTTCATCTTTGCATGTGTACACACATCTTATGTAAATGCTTTGATCCTATGTGAAGTTTTGTGATGTTATATGTAGTTTTTTTAACATATCCTGTGTATAGTTAATGCATTTCAATAATTGTAATTTATTGAATGTACATTATGTTCTTAGTTCTATATTGAGTTTCTGCAGTTTGGCAAATAGGTAAGCAGTGATATGGGGAACAAATTAATGTGCATTGGTTTTCTTTGTATTTCTTTTCTTTTCATTAGTGTTTAGCAGACACGGTATGCTTTTTTTTTTTTTTGACAGGCAGAGTGGACAGTGAGAGAGAGAGACAGAGAGAAAGGTCTTCCTTTGCCATTGGTTCACCCTCCAATGGCCGCAGCGGCCGGCGCACTGTGCTGATCCGATGGCAGGAGCCAGGAGCCAGGTGCTTTTCCTGGTCTCCCATGGGGTGCAGGGCCCAAGCACCTGGGCCATCCTCCACTGCACTCCCTGGCCACAGCAGAGGGCTGGCCTGGAAGAGGGGCAACCAGGACAGAATCCGGCGCCCCGACCGGGACTAGAACCCGGTGTGCTGGCGCCGCTAGGCGGAGGATTAGCCTAGTGAGCCGCGGCGCCGGCTTCGGTGTGCTTTTTGAACACAACTGTAAGAACACAATGATATCGCATTCCTCCCTCCCCCTTTCTCCTTTCCACTGTGCTTCCTTCTCCTTTTTCTTTCTCTCTTTGGTTTAGATTTTGAGCCAATTTTCAAATTACATTGCAGTAAAAAGGCTTATTAATTTACCAGATAAGTTTAATGAAAGAAAAATTTATACCAGTTTAGTGAGCTATAGACAACTACTGTAAACAGTAATTTAATAGAAAAGTGATTGTTTCAACCGTATGTGGTAAATCTTTAAGTAATTATAGATCATTAAAATTGTGGGTTCTCACTGCAGCTCAGTAGGCTAATCCTCCACCTGTGGCACTGGCACACCAGGTTCTAGTCCCGGTCGGGGTGCCAGATTCTGTCCTGGTTGCCCCTCTTCCATGCCATCTCTCTGCTGTGGCCCAGGAGTGCAGTGGAGGATGGCCCAAGTGCTTGGGCCCTGCATGCCATGGGAGATCAGGAGAAACACCTGGCTCCTGGCTTTGGATCAGCACAGTGCACCAGCTGCAGTGGTCATTGGAGGGTGTACCAACGGCAAAGGAAGACCTTTCTTTCTGTCTCTCTCTCACTGTCCACTCTGTATGTCAAAAAAATTAAAAAATATAATTGTGGTAGGATAACATTCTTAACCATCGGTTTCACATACGCATAAAAGAAAGCTTGACAAACTGTATAGCAATACTGATCCACACAAACATTTCTTTCTGTTTGATTCCCGGAGATTCCTCCCAGCAGTGTCCAAGTGTTCCTTTTCCTCCACATCCTTTGCAGCATTTGTTACTCTGTTGTTTGGATTTTAACCATTCTAATGGGGGTGAGGAGATATCTCATTGTGGTTTTGATTTGCATTTCCCTGAAGAATGGAGGTGGTGAGCATTTTGCCATATGTTCGTTTTCCCCTTGTATTTCTTCTTTCAGAGAATTGTCTGTTGAAGTCCTTTTCCATTTCTGAACTGGATTGATTTTGTTGTTGTTGACTTTTTTAAGTTGCATATATATTTGGGATGTTACTCCTTTGCAGATAGATGGTTTGCCACTATTTTTTCCTTTCTGCTGAATGTCTCCACTTGAATTTTCACATCCTTTGTTTCCGAGTTTGATATGGTCCTATTTCCTTAGTTTTGCTTTTGTTGCCTGTGCTTCGGGGTTCCCATCCAAGAAGTTGTTCCTACACCAATGTCTTTGAGTGTTTCCTCTACGTTTTCTTCCAGCAACCTCATAATCTCCATAATGCCAGGTCTTAAATTGGGTCTTTGATAGGCCGGCACCGCAGCTCACTAGGCTAATCCTCCACCTTGCGGCGCCAGCACACCGGGTTCTAGTCCCGGTCGGGGCTCCGGATTCTGTCCCGGTTGCCCCTCTTCCAGGTCATCCCTCTGCTGTGGCCAGGGAGTGCAGTGGACGATTGCCCAAGTGCTTGGGCCCTACACCACATGGGAGACCGGGATAAGCACCTGGCTCCTGCCATCAGATCAGCGCCTGAGGGCCTTAGGGCCTGGCTTGTGGTTGGCCACGGGCTGAGGTTACTGGGTGACTAACTTCCGAGGGGAGGAGCGAGCGGCTCGTGGTGGGGAGGGCTCCTCCTCCTCCATGCCCATGGCAGCTTGGCTCCCAAGGCCCGGCAGCAGCAAGATGGGCTTCGTGGGTTGTGAGCCTATGGGCTGGGGAGGTTCTGGGGACCGCCATGGCCTCCGTGATGGCCTTGCCTCCCACGACTCACCCTCTGAGACAGCCAAGTGCGGGGCTCAGGACTCGGAAGCGAGCAGGGCAGCCGCCCTGCAGGGTAATGTGCCAATGAGCAGCTTGGTGGCGCTGGGGACACAGGTGACTTCCCCAAGAAAGAGTAAGTGGCTCGGGTCTCCGAGGATGAGTGGGGTGCTACGGACCCGTCTCTGTTTTTCTCCAGTGCTTCACGGCAAGCGGGATGTTTAGGAATTCCTAGGCTTGGGAGGGTGGGGTCCAGAGTCCAGTGCCTGGGGTACGAGATGTTCCCTTTGCAGAGTACATCCACAATGCATATCTCGTGGGCTCCACAGAGGCACCATGGCGGGAGGCAGCTCCCTAGATCACTATAGATAAACACTGGTTCATGCCAGGGTTTCTTTTGTTTTGTTTTGTTTTTTTTCCCCCGTGTTAGAGGTTGCTTCTATTTTTCAAGGAAGTTCTGCATGAGAGCAATTTGGTTTGACCTGTGGAGCTTTGGAGAAAGGGTAGCTCGCTGTATGAAAAGGTTTCTCCAGGGATGGCTTTGCTGCTGAGATTTTCGGGGCCATGGCCAAGGAGGGGCCGGTCAGCTCCCCAGGCTGTGCGCTGCAGGCAGGGACCGCATCCACACACCCCTGCCCCCCAAACAAGCTCTGGCAGAAACAGCCCTGGGATGAAGCGAGCCCTGGCTGTGGTTTCGGTGGGAAGAGGGACTTGCAGCCTCTGCTGACAGAGGAGCTGCAGGAGGAGAGCAGGCTCATCCAGCAGTGGCCGGTATTCCCAGGGCGGAAGGGCGAGGGCTGGCTGGGCCAGGCTAGGAGTGTGCTATGTCCTGGGGGGGTGTGGGGAGAACCTTGTTAGTGTATTTAGTTTGTCTCTTTCTCACCAGGAAATGAAACTTTGTAGAGCTCACAGCAGGACATTGGTGCAGGTGTTTTCTGGGGAAGAAGTGTCAGGTATGGAACAAATCCTGATGCTTTTAACCTGGGCAGAGAAAGGAGGTGACCCAGACAGCAGGTGTACCAGGGAGCACAGGGGTGAATCAGGGTTGGGACCTGTTAGGGTGAACGGCAGCTCCCCGAGGGTGTGTGAGTGTGTGTGTGTACATAGGGTGAACGGCAGCTCCCTGAGGGTGTGTGTGAGTGTGTGTGTGTGTGTGTGTGTACATAGGATGAACAGCAGCTCCCCGAGGGTGTGTGAGTGTGTGTGTGTGTGTACATAGGGTGAACGGCAGCTCCCCAAGGGTGTATGTGAGTGTGTGTGTGTGTGTGTGTACATAGGGTGAATGGCAGCTCCCCGAGGGTGTATGTGAGTGTGTGTGTGTGTACATAGGGTGAATGGCAGCTCCCCGAGGGTGTATGTGAGTGTGTGTGTGTGTACATAGGGTGAATGGCAGCTCCCTGAGGGTGTATATGAGTGTGTGTGTGCATGAGTGTGAGGGTGTTGTGACTGAGTGCTGTGGGAGTGTGTATGTGTGAGGGTTGTGTATGGCTGAGTGTGTGTATGTATGACTTGTGGGGGGTGAAACTGTGAGGGAATGTGTTATGTGTGGGGGAGGGTATGAATGTGGGGTGTGTGAGGTTGTTGTGACTGTGTGTGAGGGTGTGTGTTATGTGTTTGAGGAGGGTTTGAGTATGGGGTTGGTGCATGTGTGTGAGGGTGTGTGTGAGTGTAGCTGTGTGTGACTTTGTGAAGGTGTGTGAGATAGTGTGAGGGTGTGTATTTTGTGTTTGGGGGAGAGTGTGGGGTGTGTGTGTGTATATAAGTGTGAGGGTGTTGTGACTGGGGCTGTGAGACATTGTGAGGGTGTGTGTTATGTGTGGGGGAAGGTATGAGTGTGGAGTGAGTGTGAATGTGTGTATAAGAGTGTGAGGGTATGAGTGAGGGTGTTGTGACTTCGGGTGTATGTGTGACTGTGGGGGGTATTAGCCAGTGTGAGAGTATGTGTTGTGTTTGGGGAGAGTGTGAGTGTGGGGTGTGTGTGTGTGTGAATATGAGTGTAAGGATGTGTGTGTGTGAGTATGAAGGTGTTGTGACTGAGTGTGTGTGGGTGTGTATGTGGGACCGTGTCAGGGGTGTGTTATGTGGAGGGGATGAGTGTGGGGTATGTGTGAATATGAGTGTGAGGATGTGTGTGAGTATGAAGGTGTTGTGACTGTGTGCAGGTGTATATGTGACTATATGGAGGGAGTGTGAGACAGTATGAGGGTGTGTGTTATGGGGGGTATAAGTGTGGAGTGGATGTGTGTGTGTGTAAGGGTGTCTGTGTATGAGTGAGTGTGTGAGGATGTGTCACTGTGTGTGTGAGTGTGAGGCTGTGTGTATGTGTGTGTGGACTATTTATTTTACCTTGTGAGACTAGTGTTATTTACTCCTGGAGTTTGTTGTTATTATTAGAGTGACAGAGGGAGACAGAGCAATCTCCCACCTGCCACTTCACTCCCCAGATGCCCACAACAGCCAGGACCAAAGCTGGGCTCCAGGGACTCCATCCGGGTCTCCATGTGGGGGGCAGCGCCGGCACATTAGCCTCCCATGGTGCACATTAGTGGAAGCTGGAGCCAGGGGCAGAGCCAGGTTTAGACCCAGCTACCCTGGGATGGAATGCAGGTGTCTGAACTGCGCAACCAAATGCCCACCCTGCCTCTGAAAGTTCTCACTCTGTGTGGCCGTGCGGGAAAGACCCAGTGAGTGTTCAAAGCCAGGTCTTTACTTGACCGCCAAGTAACAGTTGAAAAATGAAGCAAAGCCGTGCTGGTGCCTGATTCGGGAAGGGACACTGGCAGGAGAGGCCCCGGGGATTTTACATCGTGGGTGGTGAGGTCTTCCTCATCACCCCTGTTGTCTGCCGGGTCCACTTGGTGTTGAATATACATGGTCCCCTGAAGACTGGAGGGGGTTCTCCTCACTTCCCCATGGATGGCTCCTATGTGGGCACGTTTTGGCAGGTGCATGGCCCTTGGCTCATGAGCCCAAGTTGTTTCATTTTGGAGGCTCCTGCGTGTATCCACTTTCGGCTGCGCCATGGGATCCTCACGTCATTCTCTCCGTCTCTCCCTGGGGACAGCCGTCTTCACTCCCAACCTCTGAGTCTCCTGTCTGAGGGAAGCAGCCAGCCTCAGGCTCCGTGTTCTGTAAACGCTCAGAGCGAGTGTTCAGCTCTGCTGTGTGGCCCCATCAGGGATGCCAAGATTCTCTGTGAAGTTTTCACAGCAAGACTGATCACGCAACATCGCCGGCAGGTCCTGCTGCTGACGGCCCGGGCTGGCATCTGCCCTCCCTGGCCGAGATACCACTGTTTGGTCTCCAAGCCGTGGTGCCTGTTGGCTGTTTTTTTTTTTTTTTTTTTTTTTGACAGGCAGAGTGGACAGTGAGAGACAGAGATAGAGAGAAAGATCTTCCCTTTGCTGTTGGTTCACCCTCCAATGGCCGCAGCGGCCAGCGCACCACGCTGATCTGATGGCAGGAGCCAAGTACTCATCCTGGTCTCCCATGGGGTGCAGGGCCCAAGAACTTGGACCATCCTCCACTGCACTCCCTGGCCACAGCAGAGAGCTGGCCTGGAAGAGGAGCAACCGGGACAGAATCCGGAGCCTGACCGGAACTAGAACCCAGTGTGCTGGCGCCGCAAGGCAGAGGATTAGCCTAGTGAGCCGCGGCGCTGGCCCTGTTGGCTGTTGATTGTTCAGACTGCCACCCACATCCGCTGTGCACATCCCACGCAGTGATCCACTTACTTCTGATTAACGGTTCATTTCTTTCCGATATCTTCTACACATGACACCAGCAAGGCTAATGAGTTTTTCCTCCTAATGAGCTTCTTTGAGGATTTTTAAAACTTTTTTTAACATTTATTTATGTCTTTGAAAGGCAGAGTGCTGGGGAGAGAGGAAGATACAGAGAGACAAGACAGAGAGATCTTCCATGGCCTGGTTCACTCCCCAAATAGCCAGAGCTGGGCCAGGCCAAAGCCAGGAGCCAGAAGCTCCACCCAGGTCTCCCACATGGGTGACAGAGGCCCAAATTCTCAGGCCTTCATCTGCTGCTTTCCCAGGTGCATTAGCAGGGAGCTGGACTGGAAGTGGAGCAGCCAGAACTCGAACCAGCACCTGGATATGGGATGTTGTGTGGCAAGCAGCAGCTTAACTCGCTGTGCCACATAACTGGCCATGATGTTCATTTGTTTCAAGTCCTTGTATGATGTGCCTCCCAACGATGTCTTTTCACATCACCAAATGTGTTTTTAAGACACCTCTGCCGTTTTAAAATATGTTTTTTAATCAGATAAAACTACGTTGACATTTCCCTTTCACTGACATTCTGCGTCCTTCTAGACTGTTCTAGAATGTTGATGTCTCTTTGTCTTCCCTCTCCAGAAAGCAGGAGGTTTCTATTGGGTGCTAGTGAGGCTGGAGGAAGAGCAAAATGAGCGGGGAGCCACCTGTTAAAATGGTGGTTCCTCCCTAGCAGGTTCTGGAATTTTCTTTTTGGAATTAATAGCAGGAATGACAGAGGACTTCCCATTGGTTGGGCACTGTTTGCTGCCTTCTCCATGGAGGCTTCTGGGGTCTGTGCTCATTTTGGTTGACTGTTGCATTGTGGGGGATTTAGCCAGGGCTCTGATGCCAGGGCTGAGCCAGTCCCTCTCGTAATGCCCTGTGTTGTTCACTGTTGAGCAGTAACCTTCTGTTCATTGGGCCCCGAGCTGTGGGAGACAGAGCAGGAGAGGTGGACGTCCCTGTGTTGATTCCTACAAGACCTCTATCCCTCGGCTGCCCTGGCCGCTCTGGGAGCAGGACAAAGCAGGCATGCTGGGAGAGGTCCTCCTGATCTCAGGCACCGAGCTACCAAGTTGTGTGTCTGTCTGTGGGGTGGCGACAGAGAGAAGTCTGGGGGCTGTGCAGAGCAGGTGCACCTGAGCCCGAGCTTGTCACCACAGGGTGAGGACGTGGGGGAGAGAGCCCAGGGTGAGGACGGCTGGAGGACATCGCAGGCTGGGTTTCAAGAGTGGGGAGCCACCCAGCCTGTTGTGGTGGGAACCCAATGGGGGGTGGGCAAGGACCTAGCATCCCCTGGGACTCCCCAGAAATGGTTGTCTGGGTGGAGGCTGAGAGGCCCGTACAGGGGTGCTCCCACAGCTCAGAGGGCTCGTCCTGGCCCATGTCCTCATGGGTGAGGGGTGGACAGGACCTTGGCTTGCTCAGAGCAGTGGATGCTGCCTGGTCCTATGCATGTGTATGAAAAGGCATCGTTTGGGGCTCTGTCACATTTCAAGCCTTCTCCTGTTGCCTCTGATTTCTACTCTTTCCCCATCATGCTCACCATGGGTCTTGGCTGGTTTTTTTTTAAGGTTTATTTATTTATTTGAAAGACAGAGTTAGAGAAAGAGAGAGGGAGAGAGACAGAAAGAGGTCTTCCATCCACTGGTTCACTCCCCAGATGGCCACAGCTGGGCCAATCCGAAGCCAGGAGCCAGGAGCTTCCCCCAGATCTCCCATGTGGTGCAGGGGCCCAAGGACTTGGACCATCCTCCACTGCTTTCCCAGGCCATAGCAGAGAGCCGGATTGGAAGTGGAGCAGCCGGGACTTGAACCGGCGCACATATGGGATGTTGGTAGCACAGACAGCTTTATACCTGCTATGCCACAGCGCCGGCCCCATCATCCTGGTTCTTGTCGTCTCCTCACCCCACCCTCCCACACTTACACTTCTAATCCGTCAGATCTCCTGGGAGCAGGATGGGGCACGTGGACTCCTGTGCTGGCACAGAGCAGACTTGAATGGGGAGCCGGAGCCATTGGTGCCCTTTGGGCCATTGGGGGAATCCAGTGCACGTGCCCCTCCCGGGTCTTGGCCTGACCCCAACGCAGCAGAAAGTCCCTGTGCTCCTGAAGGCGCCTGCTAGTGCGCCCTGCTGGAAGCGCTTGGTCCCCAGAGCATCTTCATCTCCCCATCTCTCTCTGGGTGCCGCAGGGTTGGCAGATGAAGACAGCTTCCCTCTGAGCTTTCCTTGGTCCCATCCCTTGATAGCGTCAGCTTGGAGACCTGGGAAAGCCAGGTTACTATTTCCCGGAGTTCCCGGGGGGAAGACGTGCACAAGGGAAGTTTTGGAAAACCCCGCTGCAGCACTACTGGCCCATTCGACCCGCATTTGTCAAGCGTCTCTCTCCATCTTTTCCCCTCAAGCCCGAGAGACAGGGCTGTACGTCGGGCGCACTAGCTGCCTGAAGTCTCTGTGATGAATTGCCGCAGACTTAGCGACATACAGCTGCTCAAGTTTGTTATCTGACACTTGGGAGGGGCAAGAATCCAAAATGGGTTTCATGACCAAGGTCACTGCATCTTACAGAGACACAGGCCCCGAGGGAGCCTCCCTTTCCTGCTCTTTTCCGGCTTCTGGGGACACCTGCCCACTTCTCCATCCTTAACGTCAGCAGTGTGGCATCCCCGTCTCTCTGTGTGTGGCACAGCTTCCCCCTGTCCCGACCTCCCTGCCCTGCCCCCTGTCCATTTCATGAGGACCCTGTGATTGCATTGGGCCCACTGGAGAGCATTTCACCAATCTCAGCATTCTTAGCTTCTTTTTTTTTTAAGAGTTCTTAGTTTATGTATCTGAGAGTTAGAGTTACAGACAGACAGGCAGAGACAGAGAAAAAAGTCTTCCATCCGTTGGTTCACTCCCCAAATGGCCACAAAGGCCAGAGCCATGTCTATCTGAAGCCAGGAGCCAGGAGCTTCTTCTGGGTCTCCTATGTGGGTGCAGGGGCCCAAGGACTTGGGCCATCTTCCACTGCTTTCCCAGGCCATAGCAGAGAACTGGATCAGAAGTGGAGCAGCTGGGACTAGAACTGGCGCTCTTATGGGATGCCGCACTGCAGGCAGAGGCTTAGCCCACTACGCCACAGCACAGGCCCCCGTCATCTTTAACTTCTCCATACCTGTAAAGTCCCTGAGCCTGGGGAAGGTTCCAGAAATGAAGGCGTGAACACCTTGCAGGGGAGGCAGGGGGAGGCCGGGCAAGGGGGGCCTCAAGGAGGCCACACCATCAGTCACATCGAGACGCCCCCGAAACCTGGGTGTCAACGCCATGTTCTCATGCCTGGTTGTATTTGCAGATGCAGAGGGAAATGGTCTACACACGAGGAGAAGGCCCCAGCGCCTCCTGACCGGGCTCCATGGCTCATCCCGCCCACGCGATCCTGAGCTCCCCGCAGTCCACGCCCGTGCCCCATTACATGCCCCCCTCCCCATCCAGGATTCCGTACGGGGGCTCCCGGCCCATGATGGTGCCTGGCAATGCCACCATCCCCAGGGACAGACTCTCCAGCCTGCCTGTCTCCCAATCCATCTCTCCCAGCCCCAGCGCCATCCTGGAGAGACGGGAAGTCAAGCCGGATGAGGACCTCAGAGGCAAGAACCTGACCATGTATAGGAACGAGGGTGTCTATGCGGACCCCTACCTCTACCACGATGGGTGCATGAGCATAGCCTTGTCCCACGGAGGCCATCCCCTCGATGTCCCCGACCACATTGTCGCCTACCACCGCACAGCCATCAGCTCGGCAAGCACCTACTGCAACCCCTCCTTGCAAGCTGAGATGCACATGGAGCAGGCGCTGTACCGGCAGAAACCCAGAAAGTACCCTGACGGCCAGCTGCCCACCCTGGGCACCAAGACGCGGCCTGCCTCCCCGCACCGGGTTGGCGACTTGCACATGCTGGACCTGCCGGCTCACAGCGCCCACGGGCTCCCCCATACCATGCAGCCTAGCCGTCAGTCCTTCAAGAAGGAGCCAGGCACCTTGGTGTACCTGGAAAAGCCACAGAACCTTCCGGGCTTTGTGGACCTCGGGCCACCCCTGGTCAAGAAGCAAGTATTCACCTATAACACAGCCACTGTTCCCAAAGACAGAGAGACCAAGTAAGGCGTGGGGAGAGTGGGCGAGGGCTGGGCTGCTTTCCAGTGGTCCCCCAGGGAACACAGGGCATGCACCAGCCTCGTGCCGCCCACAGCTGACCCTGGTCTGCCAAGTGTTTCCAAGTGGGTGGGGTCCGGTGAGGCTGTGCTGAGCGGGACAGGTGCACCTGTGGGGTCAACAGCATGCAGGCCTTGGGGTGTGGGTCTCACGGTGTTGTCACCATTGTGCACCTGAGCCACTCTGAAGAAAGTCAGGCCATGCAGGAACCATGGGACACAGATGTCTCTGGGGATTGTGGTCACTGCTCTGCTGTCCGGTATAGGGAGTGAGGGGTTCAGGGAGGAGGCGTTTGAGTGGCGCTTGGCATTTTTCGTTTAGAATGTGGTTTTGTTTTGTCATTGTCTTCAGGATTGATAAAAACCTGAATTTGTATCAGGATAGAATGGGTTGGAATTAATGCTCTTAATGGTCCTAGTGAGTGACATTCTGTGGATTTTGATTTCCTTTGTTTCTAAGATTTATTTATTGGAAAGGCAAAGTGACAAAGAGGGAGAGACAGAGGCAAAGAGATCTTCCATCTGCTGGTTCATTCCCCGGATAACCATAACAGCCAAGATTGGGCCAGGCCAAGGCCAGGGGCCAGGGACTCCACCTGGGTCCCCTATGTGGGTGGCAAGGACCCAACTACTTGCATCTTCTGCTGCCTTCCCAGGTGCATTTGCAGGGAGCTGGATCTGAAGTGGAGCAGCGGGGACCTGAACCTAGACCAGTGCTCTGATGTGGGATGTTGGCATCACAGGCAGTGGCTTAATGCACTATACCCCAGTGCTGGTCCCTTAAATTTCCTTATATGCATAATAATTTACTAGTCCATAGCCTTCCTACTCTATGTCCAAAGCTCATTCCCTATCAGAAAAGCTGGTTTTGGGGCCAGCCTGCAGCACAGTGGGTTAAAGCCCCAGCCTGCAGTGCTGGCATCCCACATAGGACCAGTTCTAGTCCCAGCTGCTCCTCTTCCGATCCAGCTCTCTGCTGTGGCCTGGGAAAGCACTAGAAGATGGCCCAAGTCCTTGGGCCCCTGCATCTGTGTGGGAGACTCGGAAGAAGCTCCTGGCTCAGCTCAGCTACAGCTGTTGCAGCCATTTGGGGAGTGAACCAGTGGAATGGAAGACCTCTCTCTCTGGCTCTGCCTCTCTCTGTAACTCTGTCTTTCAAATAATAAAAAAAAAAAATAACTCTTTTTTTTTTTAAAAAAAAAAGCTGATTTTGATAGAGGGAATTTCTCTAAGCCAAATTGGTCACAGGAAGTCAACGTCATTATTGTGATCAGCTAGGCTCAGAAGCTGGGTCCCTTGTCATGAATTTCCCTTGTCATGAATGCATTCCGAAGGGGATGGAAAATCCAATCAGGTGTTTGGTTATTCAACCCCTTAGCAGAAGCCTACTGGGCACACGGGTTGCCGGCCTCACTCACTGACACGGCTTTACCGGAAGTGGACCGGGCCTGTGAATGCCATGTCACCTGCCCACCCCGCGATTCACACACACACGGGGAATCCCTGTCTCCCTACGTCGTCAGAGGGGCGTCCCTCAGGCACAGGGAACATCCCAGTGGAGAGATTTTAGGAGGCTGGGAGGTGAGTAAACATGATTATTTTGGGGTCATCCATGTGACACACAAATTCTTTTTTTTTTTTTAAGATTTATTTTATTTATTTGAAAGACTGAGCGACAGAGAGAGGGATGGGGAGAGAGAAAGATTCTCTGTGTCCTGGTTCACTCCCAAATGGCTGCAACAGCTCGGGCCAGGGCTGGGCCAGGTTGAACACAGGATCCTGGAACTCCATCCGGGTCTCCCATGTGCGTGGCAGGGGCCTAAGGACTTGAGCCATCACCTGCTGCCTCCTCAGGCCATTAGCAGGAAGCTGGATGGGAAGGTGGAACAGCCAGGGCTATGGGATGCCTGCATCCCAGGTAGTAACTGAACCTGATGTGCCACAACACCAACCCCGTGACACAACAAATGTCTCTCACTTGGCCAGAAAAACAAGGACAGTAGATGCCTGCAGTGCTGGCATCCTGTGCCAGTTCAAATCCCAGCTGCTCCACTTCCAATTCAACTCCCTGCTATGGCCTGGGAAAAGCAGCAGAAGATGGCCCAAGTCCTTGGGCCCCTGCACCCATGTGGGAGACCTGGATGAAGCTCCTGGCTCCTGGCTTCCATGGCCCAACCCCAGCCGTTGCAGCCATCTGGGTAACTCTTTGCCTTTCAGATAAATAAATGCATCTTTAGAAAAAGCAAAGACAGTGGCTGGCGTGATTGTGCAGAACTAAGGGAAAATGAAGGGTTGGGCATTAGCATTCATTGTCTCCAGAGTCCTTTGGAAGTGACCGTCTAAGGATCAGAGCAGCCCAGGGGCAGCCGACGGGAGTGGCTCATGTTCAGGGCCGCAGCCAGAGCAACATCTGCCCAGATGGGCCAGGCTCGGACACGCATTCCCTGTGCCTCCCAGGCAGGATGCCCAGTGGTGGGCGAGGTCCCCCTGGTGGGAAAGGGCCTGTGATAGAGAGGTCAGGACTCAGAACAGGAAGAACTGAGTGCAGACAGCAGGGAACACCTGGCAGCCTGGGCTGTGAGCACCTGCGCCTGCCACTCTGGCCCCCTTGTGGGTAGCGGAGGATCTGAGACCAGAATCCACCACCTGGAGCCCAGCACAGGGCCTGCCTTGCAGGGTTCCAGGCACTTCCTGGCCAGCCAGGGCAACTGCCAGCTCCCCAGAGGCTGGGCTCCGTGTCACCCACGCACATGGCCTCATGTGCATCCCTGAGTGCTGCTTGCTTTGGTTCTAGAGAGAACGAAACCCTGGCGTCCTCCCTCCATGCTCCCCAGTCACAGCCCAGCAGGATCTTAGCTCCCACACCCTGCAGGGCCTCAGCTCCTTTCATGCAAGGAATCTGCTGACCCCCTGAGGCTTTTCTGTTTTGCACATTAGAAAACCTCTTCAGGAAATGTGAATGGCTGGTATTTCCAGAAAAACAAATACTAGGAAAATGGACTGGAATGATTGAGGCTGTGCTGAGATACACTGTCACGACCACTCTCCTGTTCAGACGTGTGGGTGTAATTGTACAATTGTATGGGAACACTGCCAAGCAAGAATTTTATCTACTGCACCTGATCTAAGTGATGCCTCACCTGTCTCTCCCAACGGTGGAACTGGGGTGCTTACATATAGGTGGCCTGTCTGGATTGCCTCCCCCAGTCGCCCCGTAGATACACACACACACACACATACACATATGTGAACACACGTGCACACACACCCTCTTCATTTGCAATCACTCTCACTAAAAGACCAAAACATCATCCTCTAACTCAGCCCAGGCACGTGGGAGGAGTAAACAGATTCCTTACTAAAAGGGACCACCAGCTGTCTCCCTACCATACCTGGGCAGGTAAGAACATGGGACCTGTGGGGCTAGGGCCAGGCTCCCTCCCCTTCGACCACGGTTCCCCGTGTGGCATGCTGGGTGACTGGGCTGCACTGAGGGCCCGCTGGGCTCTGCAGAGGGCCGTGCGTGCTGGCAGCTGTGGGGGCTGAGCCAGGCTGGAAGTAGAAGATAGCAGGCGGCACCGTGCCCTGCATCATCTTGACCCCACACCCTCATCCACATCTTAGAGGTGCCAATGCTGAGGGTCAGGGAGGGTGAATAGCTTGCCCAAGGTCACAGAGCCAGAGAGTGGCATAGAAGCCCAGCTCCCCTGGAGAACCCATCCATCTCCCGCCACGTGCAGTGTCCCACCCCGGGAGGGAGCCCCAGGAGCCCCAGCTGCACCGGGCAGAGAAGTCAACTCAGGGATGAATTCTGGGCATTTCAATCCAAACCCTTCAAAAGCTCGGTTCAGGACTAGGTGCTATGGCACTGCCCTCAAGGGATATTTACAATCATAAACATGGCAGGATTTGCATAATTGCACTGCTAAATATATACACGCCACTTAAAATACCACTGCCCTAGCTGGCATCTGAGCACAATTATGCAGAAGTAGGGGAAGAGAGAAAAGAACATTTCTTGGCAGATTTTATTTTTAAAAAAATTTAAATCCAAAATGCATCTTTTTTTTTCTTTTCTTTTTTTTTTACAGGCAGAGTGGACAGTGAGAGAGAGACAGAGAGACAGGTCTTCCTTTGCCTTTGGTTCACACTCCAATTGCCGCCACGGCCTTAGTGCTGTGGCCAGTGCACCACGCTGATCCGACGGCAGGAGCCAGGTGCTCTCCTGTTCTCCCATGGGGTGCAGGGCCCAAGCACTTGGGCCATCCTCCACTGCACTCCCGGGCCATAGCAGAGAGCTGGCCTGGAAGAGGGGCAACCAGGACAGAATCCGACGCCCCGACCGGGACTAGAACCCAGTGTGCCGGTGCCGCTAGGTGGAGGATTAGCCTATTGAGCCATGGCGCCGGCCCAAAAAGCATCTTAGGACCATGTCAAAGAAAAACATTTTAAGACGGAGATGCCAGAAACAATTATCAAGGCACCAAATTAGAGTCCATTGTCTCGCCTGTGCTGGGATGTGATTGACTGCAGGCATATTGGACCTGTGAAAGTGTTTTCAAGAGTCTTGAACCTCTTCAAGTCCTGAGCACAGGGCGCAGAGAGCAGCACCAGTTCCTGTTGTCTGTGTAAGCACTGGGGAGAAGGCAAACGAGGGTTAAGATTTATTGATTTATTTTAAAGAGTGACAGAGAGAGATCTTCCGGCTACTCTCTCACTCCTTGGATGATGGCTGGCCAGAGCCAGGAGATTCTTCTGGGTCTCCCATGTGGGTGCACGGGCCCAAGCACTTGGGCCATCCTCCGCTGCCATCTCAGGTAGATAGGAAGTGGAGCAGCCAGGACTCAAACTGGCTGGCATCGCAGGCAGTGGCTTTACCTGCTACACCACAACACTGGCTCCCAACAGTGAGAATTTTGAGCCCAGGAAACCGCAGGATGGTGGGG